TTATTATTATATATATATATATATATATATATATATATATATATATATATATATATATATATATATATATAGCTCGAGTAACAAAATAAGAATATATACGCGATAGAAATGATTACTTATGACCAAGCTTTTTTTCTATGTTTATTTATTTACTTATATGCACGGGAGAAGCGGTACAGTTCTGATTATTAACTTCTGGTTGTGAAATACATGAATATTTTATACATATATGCAACGAGGAATATGAGCAGTTGCGAAATTCACATGTATTTGTCAATGCTGAAGTTTTTGATTAATAAGAATAATACGCAATAGTTCGCACTTATTAGATAATTCTCAGATAATTGATAATATTTAAAAATTAAAAACAGGGAATATAAAATAAAATTGAGTTTGATTTTGTATAAACAACATTACATCGACGGTTCATATTACCTCTAATTCATTTAAATAAAGGAAGTTCAAGTTGTATGATTTTGTTGTTCTCTTTTTTATTATTATTGAATAATGCTCCTCGTTCCTTGTCTATTTCACAATATATTTAATCTATTTTGAATCATAATTAATAATTAAATCATCAAAATAAATTATATATACAATTTTGATATTGAAAAAAAATTTATATATGCTACTACGCGTATAATAAAAACATTATCTTAATAATAATATTTAACAAATACAAATTTAATTTAAGCGTACAGTACGTTCGTGTGTGATGACAGAATTAGACCCTTACCACTACCATGTAATTTGAATGAGGCCAATCACCCAGCCACCATCTCCGAATGGAACATAATCAGGGTGAGTCATGTTATAATGGAATAAATTGTTAGCTTTATGCCTTTTTAAATTATCTTGCGCACTCGTTTAATAAGGCCCTTAAATAATCTCTTTTGAATCTTCGACGTATAGACACAAATTGAGTGAACTAAATAATTTTTACTATATAACGAAATCAAAATTCTATTATACAAATATAATTTATAACTATTGCGTTAATTCTTTCAGGATTAGTCAGACATATAACATCATGAATTACGTCAGCTTTCAAGCAGAAAAATATTTTTTAACTGTCAATATAAATAAGTTTAATAAATTTTAAAAATAAATTTTAATTCTTAAAAAAATGCAATCTAAAAAAATTTTAAATGAGGACAATATCAATGAAAATAAAACAAAACTGAAGATAAAATAAGGTAGACAAACCTATTATCTAAAAATAGCAAGATTATTCTTTGTTGAGCCATAATTAGGAAACCCCCATTGAGAGATAAACATTTTTAATATTGTTAGTCTAGGATCGTTTTCCTCTTAAATAAGCGACATGAGTTTTCTTAGTTTTTATCATAGTATATGTGAGATACATCTGAATAAGCTTTTTAGGTAATATCTGACCTAAATTTAAATACTGTCCAGGCATATCTTTAATTCCACGGTCATTGAAGGTATAAATACTCCTCAAATATGTGCAGTATGCCAAGTTGAAAGTTTACCTGTTGTTACAAAAAACCTACTATCTTAAAATGTTTTCATTTTTTAATATTTTTATTATTATTTTTATATTTAAAGCATCAGGTATATAATTTCTTATTTAAAAAAAAATAAAATACCGTAAAAACTATAAAAATTAAAAAATTATTAACATTATTAAAATTATTAAATTAAGAATCCACATTAATTATTTATACATATTTAAATATAGCTGCAAATATAAACGAAGTTCCAAAAATCGTCGGTGGTTCTGTAGCAAAGGATGGGCAATATCCCTATCAAGCATCACTTCGTTATAGAAATCGTCATTTTTGTGGAGGATCAGTATTAAATGAAAGATGGATACTGACAGCTGCTCACTGCTTATCAAGGTTGATATTAATTAAATTTCTATATACTTTATATTACTACATAAATGATTTTCCTCTTTTTTTATCTTCGATTATTTTAGTTTTAATGATACAGCAATAACCGTCGTATTGGGTACTAACACTTTAGACAAAGGCGGTGATGATTATCAATCTGAAAAAATAATTGGCCATCCAAAATACAGTTCTATATTGATCAGAAATGATATTGGATTGATCAAATTGGATAAGAATATCGTTTTCGGAGAGAAAGTAAAGCCTATTCAATTACCCAATGAAAACTTCAGTAAAATAGATTATCCTGCTGTATTATCTGGTTGGGGAACCACTAACGTAAGCATTGATCTAGATGAATTATAATTTTACAATTTTATTTTATTATTTATTATCATTATATTTATCATTTTTCCCCCTCTATATATTTGAAATGGCAATTAATCTCAATATACACAAATCATCAAAGTATCCTGGACAAGTACCAAATGAATTATACTATATTCAGTTGAATGTGATCGATCAAAAACAATGTTTAAACGTCAGCTTCCGTGTCACCAATGACAATATCTGCACACTTAACAAGAGGGGTGAAGGCGCTTGTCATGTAAGTGCATTCGTGTCTAGTACTCGAGAAAAGGGCTCTTTCATATCAAAGGATCCCTTAACTAAAGCGGCACTTTTTTTTCTTATTTGTAGTCCGTCGACGAAAACCGTGTCGACGAAAGCGTAATAGTGAGCACCATTGAGTTCCACTCACCTAGTTCGAAAAGAATTACATTAACTATGCGGAATATCAGACACACCCTTAACTTTCTTACGCGATAAAATGAAATTATTGCCTTTTTATTCTTTTATTCGAAATACAAATCGAGTTTTTTATATCAACAAATTAATTGAATCCCTATGTTGATATTAATTTACAATTTCATAATTTACAAACATTTATAAATATGCAATAATTAATTTATCTTACTTATAAATAACAAGATCTTTTTTGGGTTTAATAATAATTTTAATTAACATTAATAAACATTATATATTAAATGATTCATTCTTGAATCACAGGGTGATTCTGGTGGACCATTGGTTGCCGATAATGTACAAATCGGAGTAGTATCCTGGGGAATACCGTGTGCAAGAGGTCAACCGGATGTCTTCACTCGCATCTACAGTTATATTGATTGGATCAAAGATCACATAGAAAATAAGAGATAGAGATATAATTGAATTTAATTGAATTACACGAATATTGGATTATGATGGATTACATATATATCTGCAATCGTTATTTTTGAATATAATATAAAATAAATCATTTCATTAATTAAAAATATTATTTTTTAATTATTACATTATACTTCTTTTTAATTATATATTTATATACTTATAAGAGAAAGAAATATTAAAAAGAAAAATAGTAGTTTAAGAATTTTAAAATGAACCTGAAAAGAAACCTGAAAAAAATTATACATATCTCCTAAACTATAACTCCAATTTAACAATCAAAAAATTATATTATGTTTATAAAGCGTCAATTTGTAAAATAATTTTTTTTCTTTTCCTTTTTGATTTTATTTTTAAGTTATTATTCTTATTCTTTTATGTTTTCTAAATTGCAATTTACTTACATACAATTGTTAACTTATATATGTTATTATATGACCTACGCTTATGCAAATGCACTTTAAGTGACACTAATTTTACATTTCGTAATACATGAATTAATGTCATGCATATCTAAATCATTGAATTAAATAGAACATTTAAACATACATACATACATACATATATATATATATAAAACACTTATTCGAAAAAGTGCATGATCTTTTACAAACATAATTTAAATTAAATTAATTGTTATATTTTATGTATTCAATATAATAAGTTAAATATTAATAAGTAATATTTTTCAATTTTAAATTTTAAATTCGATTTAAAATACATATTTTTGTTTTATGTTATCTTATTTTTTATTATCATAAACGTATATAGTTTTATATAAAAAAATAATGCATTTAATAAATTAAAAAAAAATAAAGATTGTTTAAAAAAAAAATAAAGAAATATTATTAAGATTATAAGATTATATTCAAAAAATAATAAAAATTTTAATTTTATATATTCAGTCTTCAAAAAAATATAATTAAATATGTAAAATTTTATTAAAATAATTATTTCTGTATGTTTAAACTATTTGATCGATAATAATAAAAAATAAAAGAATAAGAATTTCTTTAATATTAGAATACAATAAAAAATCTTCAATCTTAATTTCGGTCAAGCATCAAATAATCTGATTTTAATAGCGCATGTTTGAATTGTATGCATTAAAAATCATTTTAGAAATAAGAAAAATGATACTATGCATAATTTTCAAATATGAATCTTGTATATTTATAATATTATGTTTCTCTAATAATAATTTTATTAGAGGTATTAATTTTAATTAATATTGGTTAAAAATTATATAATGGAATAATGGAAAAATTGATCGAAGTAATAAAGTTTTTTTGTAAACAAAATCTAACAAACATTACGATAGCTTTAAAAATTCTTTTAACTACACCACTGGTAGCACTTATTCAAAGATTGCCAACATCGAGGCCAAGGATGTGCACTACTACCCTGATCTCGTCAATGTTTACAAAACACGTATTCTATATCAAATTGCCAATATTTAAACTGTATAAGACTTAAAATTGATATAATATTGATATAATAATTTTTTTTAAAATATGATAAACAATAATTCCAATTTTAATTGAAAATAAGAAAGAAAACTCTACAATGTATATAACTAATGTCCATTTCTTATATGTATGACCTAAATCACAATACGCATGCGCAATTGAGCAAGGACAGTTTAGAGGGTGTATTTTCATCCCCTGTTTCTTGTATTTCGCGATTTCTCAGTGCCATGTCTGTTCGTATTTTCTGAGAAAAACAACGTGGTGTGAAAGACGAGGATCGGTGGCCATGCCACCTGCTGGAGCTTAACGTACATTATCTGAAATCAATATCGCTATCCTTATCTTTCGTCTTATGAACAACGTCATTCTAGTAGTTTGCACTAGAGAAATACAAGCGCGGTAGAAACTGTACTCGGGGGATTGTGTTAAAAGTGGTAAAACCTTTGGTGTTTATAGTGAAAAAAATAATGAATGCCGATCTATCATTATTATTAAATTTTTATTAAATAAAAATATTATAGTTACTACAAATTCGTTCCATTCAGATATTGTTAATAAAATAATTTAATAATTAAATGTGAAAAAAATATCGTGTGTACAAAATACAATTTGTATATGTCACACAATTGCCAAAATTACAAAATTGAACGTAAAAAGGTTAATATATTGGTATAATCTATCTATTCAATATTATAGGAAACGATGCAATACTAATCATTTTGGCTCATATATTGGGGATGCATTAATGTTCAACAATTTTATTGTTTAGAAGTGTGACAACGAATATTAAATAAAATCTATAAACGTACATGTTTATATTAATGCTTTTATATCCTGATGTTATAAAATTCTTTTAAAGTAAAAAATATAAAAATGTTTTAAAAATATATAAATAAAGTAAAAGATATATAAATGTTTGACTATATTTCGGCACTTTTCATTTGTGATAAAAGATCAGATGTTCAGTATTTGAACTTAACTTATTGGAAAATGCTGTTGTAAACAGTCATATAATATTGAAGATCTTGCTACACTTAAATTGCTGTATCATGGTGCTTTGTTAGTGTGCATATCACGCCTGTGTAAGATCCTTGGGACGCCATAAATAATATATCGCGCCAATACATTGCTTGTATAAAAATAACTTATCATCTGAGTTTATCAAAGGAAGCTTCATGAGCTGCTGTCCATTCATGTAAGTATGTGACGAACTTTTTTAAGAAACGTGTATACCTTTATAGTATAAAAATTTACATTGTTTACATGATAGTACGTGATTCGTATTTTAAGGATAGATAAAAATAAAGATAAAGATATGAATTAATGCTTCACTTAAAAATATTATAAAAATAAATTCATTTTTTGTTTAAATAAAAATGTGAAAATGTGTTTATAAAATATAATCATTATAAAAAACTGGAAAAAGAATATAAAATATTTTCAGAAACAAATTTAAATATAGTAAATATAAATAATAAATAAATATAAATTTATATAAATTTAAATATTTATTTTGTATTAATTTTTTGTAAAAATTAATAAATATAATATGATAAATATAAATCAGATTTAATTTGGAAAAATTGATAATATTAATAAAATTTTTATTCTTTTATTTTCTTTTAATTATACATTTTCTGTGACTTTAAAAATGTAATTACTTTTTTCAATAAAACAAATTTCTAATCAGATATGATTATCGTGTATGACTGAATTCATGAGCACTTAAAAACCATATTATAAAGTGAATGTAATACTGCATATAGATGAGAGTTTATAAAAACATGAAATTCGTGACTGTAGAAAACGTACAGCTGTCTGAGAGCCGGCTGTAGCAAGTGCACGTAAGTAAAGCATCAGATGCTACACCTTTTAATGGGCGACTGCGCAGTAGACAATTCAGCCGACTATGTAACCGTGTACCTCGCACAAGCATACCAGGCATTTCTTCGTCTTTGTATATCTGCCGTTGGTGTTGTACGTCTCCTTACCCTTCAGGAGACGCGTGTATCTCTCTTTCTTTATCATCGCTTTCTCCTTTATATTTGTTCTCACTCTTGTGGTAAACGCTTGATGGTGCGCCAATATTCAGGGACGTATTATATTGCGCACAATATTTAACTAATGCTTTAATTTAATATTTTTTAACAAAATAACTTTATTTTACTCTTGCATTATAAATGCTATGCTTATTTGTCCTACGTTAATTACGTAATATATAAAATAACGTATCAAAAATTCACATATAAAAATAATGCATTTGTTAATGTTATCTATTTATGATATTCTTCGTAAAAATGAGCTTATCTATTCAGTTCAATTCTAAATAGGAAATCATTTTTATCATAATGATTCAGATGAATTAATTATTGAAATTATAGTTTTTATTTTATATAAGAATAGTATTAAATTGGTTGAAGAAAGTTTCGCAGAAACATAAATGCAGAAAGGAAGAAACACGCTTGGTAAATCGTAGCCGCGGGCACCCGCATAGTATACCTATCATTTCGTCCCTGGTAGTGGTGCCGGCTGTGGATGCAGGCGAGAACGTGCGCAGCTGTAAAACGTGAGTCGCTGCGCTCCGCAGCTGATGCGGTTCGTTGTGTCCGTGTCTGTATTTGTTTGGAAAAATGCAACAGAAGAGCAACGAATTTCGACAGTGTTTTTACTATCATCTCAAGGGGATAGGCACGTATGTGATTCCGCTGATATATTGCAAGTGATAGTGACGTATATAATAAACATTTAAAATGACATTAAAAATTTGCAAAAATAAACAATTTTAAAAGTGAAATAAAAATAAATTTAAAGTTTAACAAAATTGTTCTTTGCATTTATTTTTTAATATAATTCACGATTTAGCAAGCTTTTTAGGATATAAAAATTCATCTTTACAACTATTTCCGTGTCAGGGACAATAGACATTAAAAAGAAATATAGACAAAGAGTATACATCGGCATATGCTTTGTACCTGGTGGTTCTTTTACGATAAAGATTATGAAAGAAGTGTTGTATTCATTGATAACATTTTATATGAATGTGTATTGTATTTGAAGCTATTAATACTTATTAAGAAAGAAAAAAAGACAATGCATCAAGTAATTTTGTTTGAAAATATTTAAAAAAAAATTGCATGTAGAAAGTTACTTCGATAGCACTTGGAAACAGTATTTTCTTTTTGATATTGATATATTTTGACATTTAAATTCTTCAGCATAATGAAATTAAAAGATGTAATTTATACAAAAATCATTTATTGAATTTATTAGTGTTGTTAAGTTCATTTGATAATGAAAATTTATACAAGAAGAAAGAGATATATTCCAAGCGTGCATCGACACCCCGCTAAAACGTGTGCAATGTAACGGATGTATATATTTCTCAAAGCAACGACAGGGCTATCTCCATTATGGAGGCACTGCGTTTAGCTATACAGTGAGTTTATTATTCAACAAATGTTTTTATAAATAACTTGTTTTAATATATTTATTACTATAAAATTCTGTTTGTATTTGTTCACTTATTATAGCCAAACAATTAAAATAAATTGTGAACGTCAACATGTATTTATTCGTTCACAATTCATAAATAGATAAATTTTTGCACACCCTATATATTTTTTATTTTTATGAAATAAACAGAGAAAGTAATATTGTCATAACAATTGAACATACATAGCGTTAAAAATTGAATTATGATATACATAAGAAGTAGTTCTTTCATGAGTATATTTATTATATATATATTATATTATAATAATATTTATATTTAAATTTATTATAATTATTTTCTATATTCTTGAATCATTTATTTATAATATTTAATATATTAATAAATATATTTTTCATTATTAATTTTATTTATATTTTTTGAAATTATATATAAAGAATAATATTTTATTCAAAAATAATATTTAAAAAATGTATAAAATTTTCTTAATATTATTTATATTATATTATATAAAGACAAATTTTTTATTTGATAAAAAATTTACAAAATTTACATTATTTTATATTTCATTTAATTATAAATTTAATTACAAATTATTTTATATTTTATAGGACACGACTAGGGGAGAGGATGGTTAGTATGAGCTCTATGCTCGTGGAAACTGTTAGCATAAACTATGAAGATTTTAATGAAAGTTTTTTAACATGTGGTACATGTCTTTGTGTTTATGATGGTGGAGAACATACCCCCAAATTATTACCATGTTCACATACTGTAAATATATCAATTATTTTTTAATATTATATCATTTGTATTATTTAAATTATAATTTATTTACATTTTACATATACAGGTATGTTTACATTGTTTAACAAGAATTGCTGCATCTCAAACTCGTGAGACTGGTGCTTTTCGATGTCCTATTTGCAGAGAATTAATAACAATTCCTCGTGGTGGAGTTCCTGCTTTACCACCTAGTTTTCTTGTAAATCAATTGCTTGATCTTATGTCTAGACAAAGAAGAGAGGTTTGAGATAATATTTCTTGCATAACTTTTTCTTGTGAATATTGAATACTATATTAAATTTTATCTATTATTGCAGGTTATTCCAAAATGTTCAGTTCATATAAATCAAGAATTATTATTTTGTGAAACATGTGATACAGTGTTTTGTACAGTATGTACAGGTGGTAATCATGCAGGAACATCACCAGGATGTACTGAGCATACTATCATACCTTTTAGCATTGCAATAAAAAGAATGTCTGAAATCTTGCTTTATAAAGCTAATGAATGTATATCTAAGGTAATAACATATTTTTGTCATGATTTGAAATTTAGTAATCATAGAGTATTATTATATTTAGTTAACACAAGCCCAGGATTCTGTAAGTACAGAATTACAACGTTTGGAGGCTTCAACAGAAAAATGTTTGAATGCTGTAGATACTGAATTTGCAGAAATTATTTCAAAAATAGAAAGAAGACGTTCAGAATTACAAGCAGCTGTTACTGCTGCTGCAAGAGATAAAAAACATGTGTTAGAAGAACAACATGCTCTAATAGAAGCTGAAAAAAATAAAGTGCAAGGAGAATGTGAAGGATTACAATATCAGGTATGATATTAGTACAAATATCTGATATGATATAATAAAGATTAAAATATACAACTATATCTAATTGTTATATAATAATAATAAAAAATAATATACAATCCTTTTAAAGGTTGAAGTTCGAAATATTACACAAAGAATTGGTAGTTTATCTGATCAACTTGATGCGGCATCAGCACTTAGTGAACCTAAAGAAAATGCTTTTATTACTTTTGAATTTAATCACAATAATGCTCTTTCTCAACTAGAGGAAGCTCTTAATAACTTGGGAAGAGTACGTTCTAGTACAACATTGCCAGGTATCCTGAGGATTGATAATACAGTAAAGTACCTGCTTCAAACTTTGTTATTAATCATTATGCAAATGTTATTGCTTTATGTTTTTAACTTGCCAATTATAAAAAAAGTTATATATTTACTTATAGTAATAATATATATTTTGAAACAGGTTTATGCAGAGCCCGGTTGAAAGATTCTGCCATAGTTAAACTACAAGCAGCTGTTGTAGTAGAGACTGTTGATTATCATGGGCATCCTAGAAATGTCGGAGGAGATCTTATCACTGCAGAATTAACATTAGCAGATAGTATTCATTCAGAAAACCAAAGTTCCAGTATTGAAACTGAAATATTAGATTTAGAAAATGGTACATATGAAGTACTATTTCGACCTCCATCTGCAAGTCGTTATATTTTAAAGTTATCAGTTTTTGAGCGGCCTATTAAAGATTATCCTTATTTTTTGATGCAACTGAACATAATGAACCTATTAAGATATATGGAAGACGAGGAAACGGAAAAGATGAATTTCATCAACCAGTAGCAGTTGCTGTTGATGATGATGGCATGATATATATTTTAGATACTGGAAACTCACGAATAAAAGTATACTAATAAATTTAATCTATTTAAAATTATTATTAAATATTTAAATTCTTATATTTTGTTACATATTTGTATATTATATTTCTAGGTACTCAATTGTGATTTAGAATTTCAAAGGCATATAACTAATGAAGGTCTAGAAGGACGTAGTTGTACAGGAATTGGTATTTCTCAACAAGGTATTGTTGTTGTTAATTGGAGGACACGTAAAATAACTGAAATGAATTCTTTAGGAGATACTGTTAAATCTTTTTCCCATAATGCATTTCAAGTTAGTATTTATCTCTATAATTTTTATTATAACATTAATACATTATTTTATATTATTACATTTATTTTTTTTATTTATTTTATTTATAGGAACCAATTGATGTTGCAGTTGATAGAAGTTATGGCCATATACTTGTTGCAGATAATGGTCAAAGTTGTGTTTTTGTATTTGATTCTGATGGCAAAATTCTCTTTCAGGTTGGATAATATTTAGGTTCTTTAAATTTATAATTAATTATTATTTTTTTCTTTTATCATATGTACAGTTTTATCCAAATATCTTTTAAATAAAGAATGTTATAAAAAAATATTCTTATAAAAATTGTTTAATATAAATAGATATATTATGTAATATATAAATAATTTTGTAGATAGACGTTCTTTTTTAAATGGAATTATTTAAAAAATATTTTAATATTTTAATGCATTAATCGATGCAACTTATTAAAAAAAAAATAAATTATTTTTGTCGCAAAATTATTAATACAAAAGATATAATTTGAAATTCATAAAACTTATCATGTGAAAAACAAAAAATACAAAATGATATTCTGTTGTTCATGCTTTTCTTGTCTTTGATATGGTATGGTTTTATCAAAATATCTTCTTTAAATTAAAATATCTTTAAAAAACTAGATTTTTCAACATGAAGTTGAATACTTTTTTTATAATAAATAATAAATTGCATCAATTAATGCAATAAAAATTATATATCATAATCAAAAATTAAAATTGATCTTTATTCGACTTTTATGCGTTAATCTATAGAAAAACTATTAATTTATATTATGTTGTATAATATATTTTCTTATCAAAAAATTTTTGTAAAAATATTTTTTCATAACTTTTTTTTTTAAAAGATATTTAATTGATATTTAGATAAAATGAGCATCTTATATATTAAATTTTAAAAATGTTTTATATGTATATATATCTTAAAAATGTTAATTAATAGGTTGGAAAAAGAAGTACATTTAAATTAATTACATCTGTGACTGTTGGTCCCAATGGCGAAATAATAGTGGCTGATAGTCGTATACAAGTATTTTCTGCTAAAGGAGATTTTTCTGAAGAAATTTATTCAGAAGGCAAAGGTAACTTGCATTTTCGTTATTATTATATATTAAGTGCTATATTTAATATTTCATATATTATAGGAAAAGGTACTTATGGAGGCCTCGCTGTTGATGCAGAAGGCAGAATACTTGGTACTCGTACCGATAAAGGTCGCAGTATAATCCAAGTCTTAAAGTTAGGAGGAGGTAATATTTTAACTGAAATTGATTCACATAGTTCAAAATTACGACGTCCTTCAGGTATTGCAGTACTACCTGATAATCATTTAGTAGTTGTAGACTTGGGAAATGATTGTATAAAAAAATATAGATACTGGTAAAAACAAGTTGAGTTGAAATCAAATTTATCATATGTTCACAAAAATCGTTCATACATTGCAGTTATATACCAAATATGCATTTAATATAATTTAAATTATTTATTTCTATAAGACTTTTGTTACAATACTTTATGTATAATTTTAATTTTTATTGCATTTTTTTGAAATTATCGTTTTTTGAAATTAATTTGGATAAATCAAAATAATTTCTTTATTTGAAAGAAAAATTGGTGATATTTAATAATATAGATTGCGTGTAAATATATATATGTATGTAACGTTTATATAAAACAAAAATTTTTATTTATTTATTTTTAAATTTTACATAACTTGTTCTCTTAAAATAAATCAAATTTAATTAATGTAATATAATTTATAGAATTTTGTATTGTTGTATCTATTAATTTAATTTTTTTAACTAAATAATAATGAAAGTGATTTTTTTTATTTTTTTAAAATAATTTTGAAATATACTGTAATAAATATTTTACACTGCCATAATTCAAATTCATGACAATTGTTATCAGAGTTCCATATATTTCAAAAAATCGTGTTGTATAAATGTAGTAATAAATTCTTAAAATTCATATATATAATAATATTTATATAAGTAATTTATGGGAAAATAATTTAAATGTTAAATGAAAAAGTTCCGCTTATTTACAATTCTAATATATAGAATACTTTTAGAAATTTTTTTAGATAAATTTTTTTTTTATATTTAAATCTATTTAAAAAAAAATCATTTACATTTACATTATTACATTCATGTCACTAATGTTTTGTGAAGAACATCATTGAGAAATCAACTTCACAATTAGTTAAAAATTTAATATAATTGTAATTATGCTTTATTATAAGTGAAAGAAAAAGGAAAAAATAAAACATTCACTATAAAATTAAATTATATAATAAAAATTATATTTAATATTTATTTTCAACAAAAATTTAAAAAAGAACGTTTCGATATTATATTAATTATAAGATATATTTGTTAAATATATCTTAAAGTTAATTTTTTTTTTATATAAAAAATATATTTGTATCATTTCCATTAAATCAATGATCAATAATATTTTTTATAATAAAGAACAAAGTTTAATTTTATGAATATTAAATTAATAAAAAATATTTAAGTTTTATATATATCTAAAGTGCTTTGTATGAAAATCTTATATGATAAAAAACAAATCAATCTTTTAATTTTATTTATATTTAATATTTTCATCTCAGTATTTAACTCATTTATTTTATAAAAATTATTTCTTATTAATATTAATTTATTTTTGATTATCATTCAAAGCATTTGTCATAACATACTCATTAAGTTTTTTGATTTAGATTGTTTTTTTTATTATTCATTAAAAATTGATTAGTGTATTATAAATAATACGTATTATAATAAGTAAATAAAAATAACTTAATATTGTGTGCTAATATTTTTCCAGTATTATTACAAATTAAAACAATATATTTTATTTATATGAATTATATGAAAGTGAATTTTGTATAATATATAAAATTATGCATATATATCATTTATACATAAATATATATAAATATAAATAAATATATATATATTTATTTATATTTATTATATAAATTATAATTATTACATTGCAAATAATATTTTACATATTTGTAAAGAATATCATTTTTATAATGTTAGGTATCAATGTATAATTTATGCATAAATTTATTTATTATATCATGTCACAATTTTTTTATTTGTAAATGGTGCATTAAAGAAATTTAGATAAAAGATTTAAATTTTGAATTTTCACTAAACTTACTGATTATTGTGATAGAAAAAATAATAAAAAAAGAGTTTAACTAATCTTTAGTTTTCTTTAGTTATTAGAATTGTTAAAACTTAAAGTTTATTTTTATTTCAACATTTATACATTATCTTTATATTAGAAATTAATTTAGAAAAAAAATGTTTATTAGAAAAAAGACATCAGTTTTTTTTTTAATATTGATAATTAATAAATATAATGTTAGACTGACATACAAATTAAAACACATGTCAGTGTTGTGTTCAATTGTTTCTAATAATTAAAAAACAAACTATTATAAATAAAAATATTATATTATATGTACTATATATATTTCATTATTTTAAATTTATGAATTTAGTCATTATATTTATATTTTTCATTCATTAATAAATATAATTTCATTTATTAATAATGCTAAGAAAAAATATATAACATTCAACAATTAATGCATACACAAATGTATTTTTACTCTTTTATTATTATTTAAATAATTATATGTATATTAATTTTTTGTCTTTATAAGTATTAGTATGTTACTAAAATAATAGAAAAATTCTCTAAAAGTTGTAAGATATTATAATTTTAAATAATTATTTTTGGATATACAGCATTTCCTGTAAATTATTTTGCAAAATAATTCAGCATTATTTATAAATATTGTGTGCATATACATGTGTGTATATGCATGTATAAAAATATAATTAATTATAAGTATATTATGTCATTAGTTTTTAGTAACAAGCCTGGCAGTGCCTTTATTAAACAAATTTCCATGCAAATATATAATATAAAGTTTTGTCATTAATTTTAATATTTTTATGCTGACAACATATGACAAGTGACTTAATATGCTTTTAAAATAATATTACATTTAAATAATTTTACATTTTTTAAATTATATATCATTATTTTATAGTTTTTTTACATATATATAACATACATAAATTGATGCTTTTAGGATTTGCTTTAGCTTTATTTTCATATTTAATTGAAATAAAAATTTTATATCTCATCAAAATATTAATATTATATATATTTACTAACACATTAAAAGTTTTGACTGATTTTTTAATATTTTAAATTTGATATTATTTAATCTAGTCATATGTTATCATAGTAACACTTAAAGAAAGAGTGTAATAAAAAAAACATAGTATAATGTACAATATTGTAAATAAATATATGAACTTAATTTATAAAAAATAAATTTTGATTATCCTGAATTATTAAATATTAAGAATAGCTTCGTTAATATTTATAAGAAAATACAAATCATTTAAAATAACAAAATTTTGATTTTTTCAATAATTTTATATGGTAAATATAATACAAGTAATTGAAATAATAATTTTAATTAAAGAAATTATAAAAATTATCAATAATATCGAAATCAATCTCGCGCGTAAATATCGGTTCGATAGTAGTAAATTGAAACGATTATCTCGAGATTTTTCCTAGCGAGAGTATCGAATGAATGTAGCGTGCACGCGCCGTAGCTGAAAAACGTAAGCTCGGATACTACGCCTGTGCTAGTACGTGCTCCGTACACGAAAGTTATTCACACACGCTATTCATCGGCTTGTGCTCCTCCATTACGTACATAACGTGAAACGTAAGACGCTACATACTGGTCTATACGTGTGTCGTGCAGGTGTATATAAGCAGAGTTGCGCACGTCGTGTACGAACACCAAAACATCCTTTCGATTGAGATGTGATTTTGTGCTAAAAAATGTGTTTAAAATGATTCATATAACCTTCAATATAAAATTAATAGCTAAGTGACGTTTGTAAGAAAACTAATAATTCACGAATATCAAGAACAACCGTTAAATAACATTTTCGACGGGACATCAAAGGAATTGAGAAAGGGCGAATTTGAGGGCCACTGCACAAGCGCGAAGACGAGAGAGACAATCAGAGAACGAGAGAGTGAGAAAACGATAGGACGCTAGGTACGGTGCTACGGTGGTAGTGAATGGAACGCGGCCCCCACGGGTGAGCGTAGTACGACGCTCCACGGGCTAACGTTGCACCAATGACCAGCCGGGACGGACGATCACGTGACGTGCGTGCCGAGGCAGCAGCAGAACATTGCAAATGACAAGACGCGTAGGGCATTGTCGTCGCGCCGCCGCTACCAACGTTCTCGTCGTAGTTGCTGGTGAATTCGTCGCGCCGTTGTCGTCGTTGCTACCATTATCGTTGATGAGATCTCGCCCGCCACCGAGAAGGCAAATATTATAAACGATTCTGAAATCTGTCCTCGCTGCTGTCGGCACCACCGCTGCTGTCGCCGCGTGTGCGCGACAAAGTCGCGGGTGCTCGGAGGCCTCGTGCCCTGAACGGTGCCCGCGGCGCCCCGTCCTTAGTACAACATACTTGAAACAGTGTACCAAACGTACCAGCATCAAAGGCCCGAGTGCCACCTGCCTATATGACAAAATGTCGGGATCACAGCGAATGCGAAAATCCTCGCCATGCTCGACATCGAAGCAAGGCCCAATGCGCGCGACTCTACCCGTAAGCTCGCTGCTAAGACAAGGCCGGCAGGGCAGCAGTCTCAGGAAGAGCAATAGCAACAGTCCCACCGTATCGCCAACAAATGCGAGTGCGTGGCGGGCCCGCATCTCGCCGGAGACTTCTTCCTCTGGACAACGAAGCCCCGGTTCCCTCTCTTACAAAGGTATTTACGTTCACTATTCTACATGTCACGTACTTACTATACACTGTTATCTTTCGCTACACTTTGTTGTGTCTGTCATTTTAATTTTTTTCATATCCTCCGATTGAATCCTTGATTAAGAACTATTATTTATTCCCATTTCCTTTTTTCAATGTCAGAATACAACCAACTATAAATGTTTATTGTGTATTATATATGCATAAATTTTTAAACAGTCTTATATTTGCAAGTTTATCATAATTTTTGTCGTCTGTAAACATTTTAAATGTTATTTTTATAAGATTTCATGTAATTTGTTTATATTAGATACATGTCATATATATAATTGATTGTAAATATTATAGTTAAGATATCAAATAAGAAGTATTATATGTATTTTAAGTTCTATGATATATTAGATTTTTCTAAATTTGTATAATTTTTAAACATTTTGTATGTTATTTAATAAATTTAATAGTTAAGCACGTTAAATTTATATTAATTTGCAGTTTTAAAACAATTTACTTATTATAAATGTAATTATGCATTATTGCTTTCATT